TAGAATTTTCACTTTGTTGTTGATGATCGTTCGCAAGTGTTGGGCAGCTTTAAGATCGGGGAAATTCTTTATTTGGAATGTTCGGCGATCCAACTTTCAGAATGATCGAATTCCGTGGAAGATATTGAAGACGAGGAGTACGTATCAAATGCTCAATTGCATTGGAATCTTCATCTGCTTCACGGTCGTCCGGATGATGTGGTTGATCGAAGAGAATAGTGTGTCGTGGGATGGAGGTTACTTTTGTGATTCGATTTTGAGGGAAAGAGTCACCCATTTCTCTCAGACGCTGAAGAAGTTGTGTTTTTGCATGACAGTGTCCCATGTTATCGAGCAAATGCATTCAGAAACTGATAAAGAATTCTGAATCGGTTTTTTGGAACGGACACAATGGCCTGGCAATTTCTCCGATCTTAAAGCTGCCCAACACTTGCGAACGATCATCAACAACAAAGTGAAAATTCTAATGATTAGAGAACTGGCCAAGCTCGATATTCACAAGAACTCTTGATACAGCACCTCAAAACAGTCCTGCATGACCTTAAATTTGATTTATCTCTTTTTGAAATTTAATTGAAATCTTATCCTTAACGTCTCAATGCTGTGCAGGCAACCAATGGAAAGCCTTCCACAGCACCAAATTTTAAAACATTTTTGTATTCGGCAGAAATTCAGTTTTAATAAAATGTGCAGTTTTTGGTTCTACGTTGCTTGGTTTGGTCTTTATCCCTCTAATAAAAGGTTATGCAACACTTTGTACTTCAATAAAAGTAAAGTTCCTAAAAAATATTCTATAATTGTCTGTAAAAAGGTATATGTTATGGTTTCATTATAATGACAGCTTTTCTTATGAAAGTTGTCGTTATTAAACAATAAAATTGTTTATTATTTATACAAAATCTATACAATATACGCTTACATAAATAAAATATACTTGACATGTAAAAAAAAACTCGTTTTGATCATTGGCAAATAGATTGGACCAAATTAGCATCATCACAGGGAATATTTCAACAATAATAACTTTTTGATTTATTTAGATTTAAGCATCGTTTCCATCGTTGGATGCATCCCCCAATACTTTTGTTGCTAATTGACGAATATTCGACACTAAACCCACTATTTCATCATCATTCTCATCGTCATTCTCATTCTCAATTACATTGACATGATGATTTGGATGAAATTCTTGTTGAATCGTTTTCGTTAATGAATTTCGTTCGCGTTCAAGTGTCATTATTCGCTTTATTAATTTTTCCAATTCTTGATCTGATTTTAATTGCATATCGGCTAATGTTTGTTGCCATCGTTCTTTTTCTCGCGTTGTTGTTTGTTCAAGTTGTCTGAAAAAAAAAAGTGGAAATAGTTTGAAATATACAAAAATAAAATTTTTAAATACCTTGAATTTGTTAAAATTTTAGTTTGTTCATATTTAACAGCATTCAATTCCTTTTCTAATTGATCTTTTTCATTCAATAATATTTCTTCATGTTCCTAGGAAAAAAATTGTGTCAAGTAGAAGAATCATTTGAACAAATATCGACTTGTTTTTCTTACTTTAAATTGATGTTTTAATTTTTCTATTAGATTATCTTGTTTAATGTTATCATTCTGCTCATGATTACTATATTTCTCATTCATTAACTGTATTTGTTTATCTTTATCTAATATATCTATTTCATATTGTTGAATTTGTTCACTATTCTGTTGTAAAATAATGTTTATCATATTCATTTTTTCATTAACAATAGCCAATTCATTTTGATAATTTTTTTCTAATTCTGTTGTTTTTTGTTTTGATGTATCATATTCATAATGTAATTTTTTTGCTAATATATCTCGTTCATTTGTAATAGTTTTTAATTCATTTTCTAATAAATTAACATCAGTATAATGTTGTTGTTCATCTGTTTGCAATGCGATAGATGCTCGTGATGATGATGATGATGATGATGAGGATGATGATAGTTGTCGACTAAATTTTGTATTTAATAGTTCAACACGTTTATTTATATAATTTAAACGTTGTTCATAAATTGATAGGGTCTTATTCATATTTTTAAATAAAATATCAATTTTATTAAATTGAAATTTTTCTAAAAATATATAAACTAAATTATTTGAATAATACAATTCTAGTCATTCTCTCTTACCTATTATATCATAGATTGTTTTTTCATTCACTTCATATTCTTTTATTGTTTGTTTCAAATTTTCATTTTCATTTGTTTTTGATGATAAATTATTGTCATAATATTCTAATTTTGATTCAACATATCTGAAAAAAGTTTGATATAAAGTTAGTTACTTCTATACAAAATAAATATTGTTAAAACTTACTGAATATGATTTTTTCTTTCATCATATTGTGTATTCAATAATTTATTTTCATTAAGTAAATTATTCACTTTCATTTGTAAATGTTCAATATCTTTAGAAAATTTTGTACGATTATTTTTCAATATTAATTCCATTGATTTTAATTGTAATAATAAATCATAAACTTTTTTACGCCAACAATTTAATAATGTTTGACGTTTATCTTCAATGGATGAAGATTTTATGGGTTCTAATTGTTCTTCTTGAACAGTGAGAATATTCGTTACCGATAGAATTCTAAAAAGAAGAAAAAACTATCATAATGAAATAATGTTGATTCTAAATAAGAACAATTTAAATTTATTCAATATATTTAACAGTTTAAAATTAATATTTTCCATTATTTTCTCAAAATACATACTTTAAATTTAGTAAATTCATTTGTTTATTTAATAATTGATTTTGTTTTTCACTTTGTTCTAAACGTTTTAATAGTAGATGTTTTTCATTTTTTATTGTTTCAATTGTTTGTATTGTAGGTGAATAGGCACGATCATACAATAATTGTTTAATATTATTTAATTCTTGATCTTTATCATAAACTTGTTTTAAATAATTATCATTATTATATTTTAATTTATCGTTTAATTGTTTTGTTTTTGTTTCATATTCTTCTAATTGTTTTTTATAATAATTTTCTTTTGTAATTATTGTTTGTTCTAATTGAGCAATAGATAATAGACATTTTGTTTTTTCACGTTCTAATTCTGTTCGTAAACGTTGAATTTCTTGTGCTTGACGTTTAATAATATCTTCTAATGTTTCTTGAACAATGTTTGTACGACGAGGTAAACTGATTAGAGTTGGTGCACGATCTAATAAATCTTGACCAGATATTTTTGATTGTTCATTTTCATTTTTCAAACAATATATCTCGGTTTGTAATTGTTCAAGTTGTTGATAAACAATATCATTGTTAAAATCAAAATTGTTAATTGTTGTTGTTGATATGGCAGCTGATGATATTAATGAAGATGGATCATATGCTGATGAAGGTGGCAATAAAATCATACTTTCACAATTTCTCATGTCTTAGAATAAAAAAAGTATCATTTTTAGATAAATTCAGTTGTCAATATTGAGATTTCATGTTTCTTTTTCTTGTATAATATAATAAAATTATTAAATTGAGCAAATAGTTGACAAGGCTAGCAAAAGAAAATAGTGATATGTTTGTATGAATGACTTTTTTTAGGACTTAAGAATGAATGTTTTAGACTTAGAAATTGCTTCATCTCGAATAACAGCCACATCATAATATATAAATAATCAATTAAATGCAATTTTGACAGTTATTTTATTTTTTCTTCATTTAATTTGTTTTTTCTCTCATTTCTATTTTTACAACATATAAGACCGCGTACATAAATAATCTGTTTGTTTCTAGCAAAGACAACGGGTGATAATGAGAAATACATATATCTGAAGTGTTGATTCAACCCTTGAGGTTTTTTTCGTTTCAAACGATGTCAAAACGCGTGTAAACGACGATATAATAGAAATGCGTTCAATGGATGGTTGAAACGTGTTTCGTAAAAAACAAAAAAAACGCGTTTCTATTATGTTGTCGTCTACACGCGTTTTGACACCGTTTGAAACGAAACGACCTAACTTGTCAATAAACCTTGTTATCTTAATGACCTATCTATATTATGTATGTCTGAGAATCTCAGTGTTCTGAGTATGAGAGAGAAAGCTTCTCTTGTTTCCCTTGTACTTTTAGATAAATTTGTGATCTTCTGTCTTATCGTAAACTTTGATATATCAACTTCGCACTGTAACATGTTTCATACGGCTCGTCTATACAAGTAAGAAATGGATTTCTTTGAAGAAGAGAAAAAATAGACGGTTCGGATGTGAATTTAATGCGGGAAATTTTTAGGGATATACATACGTTTGACAACTTACAAAAATCACCCGAAACTCGATAAATCAAGTTGATTACGGTTGCGGTCAATAATCAGCGATTTATATATTGATCACATCATTTTTTTTGTTTATAACATGTCTTTTTTTTTTGATGATGGAAAGGTTGACTCATAGAAACTCATTTTCAAACACTGTTCGCTACCTTCTGTTTCGATCAACTTTTTCTGTTATGAATTATTTATTCCAGTTCTAGTTTTCTTTCTTGACAAAAAAAAACTAAGCAAAGAAGAAAAAAGCAAATTTTTCAAAAACATATTGTTATAGAGAGAAAAGAATTTCTTTCCTCTGCACCTTAGAGAAGTAGAATTTATACTTTTTTTGTTCGTTCAGATCTTTTTTGACTGTGTTCACGTATTCATTTGCATTAGATCTACAAACTCGCACATACACACACACACACACACTCACACACATGTTTAGAGGTTTAAGAAAGAAAAATAATGATAATCTTTTGCCACTCTCTTTTACTATTAGCAACAGGACAAGATGTATAACTTTTGGCTGCATGAGAAAACATCATATCTGATATAGGTTATTTTGCTCTTATATAGTGATTTCTAAGATAAGAATTATTGCACTACTTACCAATTGCCGTTAACTAGATAAGGATATACATTTCATTTTCTCTATGAGTTTTAGATATTCGAGAAATATTGAGCAGATTTAATAAAAAAAGAGTAGTTTTGGATCAATATTGTTATCATCAGTGATAAGAGTAAAAGTTGTGAGTACGAAAGAAAAGACATTGAATTAATTAATTGCTTACGTACGACAGAGACGGTCATATTTCTTTATTTATATCTTATTTCTTTATTCAACTGCTTAAATTAATCGATCTCTATGGATTAATCCACAAAGGCTGTGATATCTGTCATGCAACTTCCAAATCTAAATTTAGAGCAAACAGAGCAGTAGAAGAGCTACTCACGCAAAAACGACCGAATTTTTGGGATTTTTTATTTAGATTCAGATGCATCTACTTCTTGATATACGTGAATGTGAATCTAGGCAAAAAAAACAAATAATTGGATCGTTTTTGTCTGGATAACGTTAAAAGAGACTGGAAGAAACTATTAAGGTTTACAGTTTTTCACAGTGAGTCAAAGAAAAAAGATTGTACTCATGACCTCGAAATATCCAATTAATTGATGAAGTAAAAAATGAAATATTTTAGAGTCTGTGATAGTCTTCATCGCTAAACATGTACGTTAATGATATTATATGGCAGGATTAACCTGAGATAGCACAAGATTTAGCAGAAAATTTTGGTATTTGCTTGTTCAACTGATTTATGGAACTTATCTGTATTAGATATCAATTTTGATTATTTTATCAATAATTGGAAATATATTCTATTTATTCCATCAGCAACATGTGAAGGCGATGAATCTAATAATATGCGGCAATCCTAACATTTAATAAGAAATTTAGAACATATCTATTATGAGCTCATTGATCTAGTTACTTTAAATTAAACAAAATTTAATTATATATATTATCGATCAAAATATCGAAAAAATTGGATAGAAACATCATGTGTAATGGATACTCTGAGCAAATGACGAACATTTACGCGGAATCGACAGATTCATCAATGAAAAATCCACTAAAGAATTTTAGTTCAATTTGCCATGGTTAAGATTAAGATTTACAGCTGATGCTCGAAAAACATCTGTAAAGCAAATTAGACTAGATCAACGAAAATGATATAAAGATACATATCAGTAAGCTTAACTTTTTTCTCAATGAATAAATAAAATATAGGCGATCCATAAGACATGGCAATGTAACTCAATATTACGAAGACTGTTTGAAATATTTAATGTTTCGTTTCAGTAAAAGTCTAATTACTACTGAATAGTATCTAAGTCTCACTTTTTCTTTTCTACTCTATTAAAAAAATACCAATTTCATATTTTTTGATTCGAAAGTTTCATTAATTATTTTAACGGAAATTCGTTTTTCCTATGTAATTCAAGTGTATTCAAGTATGTGGATGCAAGAGTTCGTGTGTTTTCTTTTTGCCTCTCTAGACACCAACGGCGAACGTGTTTGACTATTACCCATCCAAAAATATAAAGTAAGTAGCTGTTTTTTGATTAACTCAAAGACAATAAAAGATAGAAATTTGCGATTTTCAGAAATCGAAAGAGGACAGTTCAACCTATATTTTGATAACAAAGCCATTTCTCGAAAACACTCGAAAGATAAGTTTTCTATACGATCTTTGGAAAAACAGTTCGGATCTCCAGAAACTGAGATAGTAATCTATCTTTTTTTTCATAAACATATAGTCCATAGTGTATCCTCCAAAATGGAGACCAAGCAAACTTTTAATTTTTCCTGGTTCAGGCGCGGCTTCGGATTTCCTGAGAGTCCCAGAATCAATATTTCTGTAAATGTGGTAATTCCGAAAACGAATGAAAACGTGGGTAATCGACCACGCTGAATCTCGTGGCAACATTTGTTTTTAAAGAAAGTTTCAAAAGCCTAGTAAAAACCTATATTATGTGAAATATCCTATTTTTGCATATTTTCGTGTAAAGTTAGAAACTGGTAACTCAGTCAGAATTGATACAAACTACGTCAGAATATCAAGATGTACTCTATTTTAGTAACTCAATACGATATTATACTTGAGAATAGTAAAAATATCCTTGTACTTCGGAAGACTTGTAGAAAACCTTTTCAAAAACCAAAGTATTTTCTGTACGCTTTTAAAACTTTTATTGGACTGTATAGTACTGAGTAAGTAAAATAGAGTACATCTTGATATTCTGACGTAGTTTG